ATATATTTATTCGTGATAAACGACAAAAACCACAAAAACAAAATAAATGGTCGTGTACATGTGTTTCTATAAACGAAATGAGCAGACAGAAAATCGATTTCAATGTTTTTTTGACGACAATTGAATTAATGTGATAACGATCGACTTTGTACCACCAGAAGATCATTCCACACATTTTCTTCAAATAGATTTCTCATGCTATTGAGTTCGATGTTGTTTTCTTGAAGCTTGCCTAAGAATTTTTTCATTGCTTTACATTTGTTCCATCGAAAATCGCAATACCGGTTGTTTCTGCGTTCTAAAACACATACTTTGCTACTTTCATGGCCAACAAAATCTAATCTAGCACCATGTAATGCAGGATCGAGTGTCAAGCTTTGGGTGGCGACCGCAAATTCCAACTGGTCCCACCGTTTTTTGTCGTTATTATAACACAACCATTTGAACGATGCATTTGAAATCGAAGTTTTCTCAAGAAAACCAGTTTTAGTAAGATCGACAGGTTCATGTTTACCACAAATGAAGAGACGGCTAACACGTGAATTTGTCAGTAAAATCGAATGACAATTTTCCTGATTGTACACGCGTGTGCCGAGAACGAACGACGTTGGAAACTGTTGTAATATGACACGAAATGGTATTGTAAATCGAAAACATCCGTAACGCGAAGTATGTCGATCAAGTGAATCAGATAAATAATCGGGTTTATCATTCGCCGTCCATAACGGTGGTAATGGTGAAAACCAGCAGAGAGGATATCCACCATAGTTTCCATTGGGAAATCCTTCGATATGCACTCGATCAGGTATTTTTCGTAATATTTTCACAAGATCATCGGGATCATGTACAACATGTTGAACGTAGTCAAATTCCATACGATATAGTGGATTTTGATTGTTTACAATTGAAAATTTGCCAAATGTGAAATTCCATTTGTCTTTCACTGCTGGACGTGGAAAAATAAAGAGGCGATCGTCGACTTTATTAAATGATAAGAGAACATTTTGGTCTTTTTCACCGTGATATTTAATTCTTTTGTCCTTTAAGATTTGTACAATCTTATACAGTTGATGCAGGAAGTTATCTGCCGTTGTCGATGATACTTGCAATAAATGACATTTTCGAAGAGACTCCTCGATTCGTGAAGCTAATTCCTTTTTCCATGTGATCGGTCGTTTTTTCGAATCTCCGTCGGCACAGACTCCAATGAACTTGACAAGCGCTTCACACAGATCCGATGCTTCTTTTTCCAAGTTTGAGAATAATCCACGAACTTCACTGTCCCTCAAACCTCTCATGTTTAGCTTCGAGAATAATTTCCTCGAATGGCATTCGAATGAACGTAGCGCACCTTGAAATTGTATATCGACATCGGCCATTGTCACGATTTTCAATGGATGAAATGATTCTGTACGAAGCGATGCAACAGAATATATAGTGCAAAAATTATCTGCAAAAAAATTCCACCGTTTTACCCACATATTTTCATAGAGAAAAGACAATAAGGAATGAGAAAGAAAAACCTGTTCATATCACGAAGTAGGATAAAAAATACTCCGAAATTTTGCTCGTATTCTTTTTGTATATAAACAAGTTTTCTGAAATAAAATCATTCTTTTCTCGACATAGGATTATATCTAGTCGATGAGTCACTACGACAAACTCTGATCTGCAGTGCTAGTTCTTACCGTTATTCGTCGGAAATGAATGGTAGCTAAACTGTGCTTCTCCCGCTCTATATATAATGCATCGGAGAGATCAAAGTCCAAACGGGAGAAAGAATACGCAACAATCGTGAATAAACTCACGAAAACTCCATGGATAGCAGCAGATATGTACGTGCACAAACGACAGGATGAAAAAAGTGTGGATCATATCACGTGTGGCAAATCAACGCAGCAGTTTTGTCTCAGAGCTTGTATATATAAGTGCAAGGAAAGGAGAAAATGTTTAACCTAGTCGGTGAGGTCAGCAACGCCAACGTAACTAGATCGAGAAAGTAAATCATCATTGAGATCAACGCAGTTATTAGAAAATGATTGATTGGTATATTTCTTTGGTGATGATCGTCGTTATTTGACTTCAGGATTACTAGCGATTCTGTTCTCAATAAGCCTACAGTGTTTGTTGTGCTTTGAGTGGATTTTCGATGAAACTTTACTTGGTTGATTCTCTGCGAAAGTCCCACGGGCTTGTGAAATCCTTCATTTTTTCATAGGAATAGTCCTTTAATCGCCGGGATAGCTCAGTTGGGAGAGCGTCAGACTGAAGATCTGAAGGTCCCTGGTTCGATCCCGGGTCACGGCATTTCTCTTTTTTTCCTTTTTGTATTCACAACAAACACGAAATAAGCCTCTTATCTGTTCTTTAACTTAAATATCAATACGAAACGATAGTCTGATTATGTCTAACTAACACTCATTTTTGACGTTTGTGTTAATATTTTTCGTAAGTTGATCATTATACGAACATCCGAAGATACCATTTAGTTTCATCAATAACTGCTGGATAAAACAACGTACACATACGATAGCGAGCTTTTCTATATTAACACATTTGAAAACAAGAACGAAACGAAACTGATACTTTGTAGATTCTACCTAGAAATTAATATCGGTGTATTTCTGAAATAACATGTCAATTTATCTTGAAGAAGAAGCTGTATCAACGTTTGTACTCTCACTAAAGAAGAAAAACTTAATACAACTAGATAGGTTTGCTTCATGTGAAATTCATTTTATTCCTAAAAGAATATTGTATATATGCACTTGGCTATGTTGAAGAAAACAGAAAAGTAGTCACTAATAGTCCAACAACACAAAACTGTATTCACAATCGAAGAAACAGATTTTCAGTTCAGTATAGTATAGTCGAAAGTTTTTTTTTCGTATGTGGTAATTGCCCAGATTGGAAACAACAAATCATTTTCTTTCGATCCATTCATTCGAAGTAGAACTTCCTGATTGTCTTTGCCATATATATGAATATCGTCTAGCTCTACTCAAATTTCGTTTGTCGTGCGCTGCAATGAAACTTTCTTGACCAAGATGTTCAAGCGTCACTCACGTTTGAAGAAAGAAAAGACACGTTAAGCAGATCGTCAAACGATGATGTAATAAAAATGAAATTGACCTTAATAGATAAATTACCAAAGAGTTCTTTAAGATAAAAACTAAAGCAAGTATTCCGATAACGTATGCATCATTCGTTTATGTCAATGAGGTACATAGTGGACTAATACGACTTGAAATAACGAGAATATACAAATAATCTCACTAATAAGTGTGTTTTTGAATAGTCAAAGATCATGTCATGGTGATAATGTCCACATTGATTTATCTATGAAATCGCTCTACTCAAATATCAATATACACGCGCGCACAACATACGAGTAAGACAACGTTTATCTATAATTATTTTTGTGCCATATGAAAAGCATATCTGTGAGCTCGTTCTATTAAACAAATCATTGAGTATCGCTCAATCACTCGTCTCGTAAAGGTCAACGTGTGATACTTCTTTCTCGTGATGAATTCATCTTTTTGAAGGTGTCTATTTTCAAATACAAAATTAATGTGACCGAAATAGTGGAGTAATTTGACTTTACTGAGTTATATATTACTTCTTAATAAATCCCTTTAAATGATGCGTCTATATATTGCTCATTGAATACGGTGTGAAAGGAAGCGTTATTCTATATTACATCATTGAAAATCATTGAAGGTGACAGTCCGTTCCTTCCTTCCTTCCGTTCGCTCGTCGTTTTTCCTTCAATAGAACGCAATTCAAATGTCAAGCCAAAGAACAGAATCTACCTAGACGTTAACGAATATAAACGTTAAACAATTGTCAATGTGACATGACCACTGAGATTGTGGTCCATCGAACAGACATTAGAAATTAATTGTATGGATAAGTCGGTGAGAAAGAGAAATCATTCTTAATTTAACATAATGCGCTCCGTTCCTTTGTTCTTTCTGATGTGATCTATTGTGCAATGCTTCTTTTCGGATTAGATCTGATAGATAGATAGATAGATAGAGGATGTGCTGACGTGTGTGCATGGGCGTGGATATAATACGCTCATATGTGTGTATGTATATATGTGCAGTTAAGAGTATGCGGTCATTTGAAAGACAGATACGTCATTATAGAATTCAAACTGTTTCCATAGTTGTTCTTTCTAATTATTTTTTACTCGGTTCCAATGATCGTCACATACCTACAGTAGTTCTACACCGAGTGCAATCAATTAGTTTCGATTACATATGTGTATGCTATTCATAGTATCAGGAAACTATAGTACAGACATATGATTTCAATCAAGATTACCGCTTGAGATAAGATTAAGTATAACTATTTCATGTGTGATGTGGTGTGAATGTATGCTGATGTGGTTTTTTTTTCTATTATAGAAGTATACAGTAGAATATCAATTTGAAAAATTAGTCTTTTTGCTGGTTAACAGTTAATGGTAGACAATCCGAGGATTATCTCGTCTCCGACAGTGAGAACAAAATGACAATAGCATCGATAAATCTCCTAGACAAGTCATTCATGTCCATCTGGTCACTTCTAGATTGACTAAATAAAAGTCACCATAAATCATACGTAAGATGGATGTTGAAGTCACATATTCTCCATCATCGTTCAAGAGAGAACATCAGTAGGCAATAGACAAAAGTTTATTGAGCATGACCATTGACTGTGTGTAGTACAATTTAATTATAATAAATACCATTCTGTCTGTCTTTCTTTCTTTCTTTTTTCCTCTTTCTCTCTTCTCTTCATTTTCTTTTTGCTATTTGTACGGTGCTTACTAGAACAGCCCCGTCTCATTGATATCATCCAATATGTGTGTGTATGTGTATATATACGTATATCAATGAAAAGAACGGAATGAAGCGAAGTACTTGAATATAAAAAAGATGATAAACACCATTTCACACCGTTCGAGTATGATGACGAGTTTCGACAAGCGAACGATCTCTACATACACACTTGTCTCTATACTTCAATTGAATAAACAATAACATTGACTAGTTTATCTCTGATATTTTCTTTTTGATATAGATAATGGAATCTTATTGATGAATATTGTGGTATTTTACCTCAATAAAGTATGAATCTTCGTAGTCAATGTACACACCTCGTTCTCATCATCATCTACATCAATTCATGTTATACTTGGCATCAAACACTCAAATTTCCTCGCCAATTATCGTATGAGCATGCAGGTTAGCTGAAACTGTTTTCGAAATATCGAACTCGAACGTGTACTTTTAGATAAACAAAACTTTTCACTTTCGATTGATATGAAATTTTTCATGTGGTACGACACTTATGCAATCTATAGTGCACGTGAAAGGTTAATACTCCTCAAACCTAGTCTAAATACGTCCACGGTAAGTTTTTCTAACCATATTTCATCACAATTATTTTCAAGAAATGACTTGCAGATTGAGGTTTACACATACAATTGGTCGATTGATTCAACAACTATGGAAGAATGTCTGCAAGAATGGAACACAAAAGTATTTGATTATGCTTTGCTATTTCCGCTTTGAAAACTAGCTCTTTCTTTTCAAGGAAAAATGCTACAACGATATTGTTCATGTGCGAATTCTACCGAACAACACTGTTATGGATGTCTATTCAATCTACGCACATCGGTCCATGATCCGTTCGTTTAACTTTCATTCTATGTCATTCATCAATGGAAGTTCTCTCGCGCACGATCCACATCCTTCGATAGATTCCGAACGTTCGTATGTGATGTTATCATTCGATACCAATTTGATAACGGCTGGCTACGAAGGTGATTATATTCCAACAATTCGTGCGTCGCAAGGAAGAACTTTACTTTATGCATTAAGACAAAGTATTGAACGAGAGAGAGAGGCCATATCAAATCGATCGAAATTTGCATTCTCAATTTTTATTACAGATTCGCAGTTCATTGGTGGATTTAAATATGATGGTAAAGCTGTATTTGGTGTAGTTGAAACATCTGAACGAAGAGAAACAGTAAGTCGAGTAATCCATCGTATCTTCTCAAGTTTATTACTCATTTGCAGAATCGTGTCTCTCGGTTAGTGATGGCTTGCGCTAATCGAGCTGAAATCATTCGTAAGGCAACATTGAATTGCTCGACAAATATGTTCGATCACTCACGTTCATTTGTTTTTCATATTTTAAGTAATTAAAAGTTCTATTTTGATATTCATCAATTGAAACGATTTGCTTTCTAGCCGCATTAATCGATCCTATTCGAACAGCGAATGACTCCGTACTGCTTTTTGCTACATTTACTACAACTGAGTAAGTACATGTTCATCAATAAGCTTATCCTCTACTCAAATGAATTTATAGTTCATCACTCACAGCATCGGCTGTGTGTTTATTTGCATTGGATAAACAATTTTACGATGTTTTTACTGCTTCATCAATGAAAACAGCTCGAACAAATGAAATTAACGAATTAGTTGTTAATTGCTCTCAAGCAATACCATCAACAATCGATAGAGACATGGTCGAATCGGAAAAACAATTTCTACCCTATTCATCCAATCCATTACTAATCGAAACAATGTCCAATGGAGTGTTTTCAGCTATTGATGTTATTGAGTACCAACCCGATCACTATTGTTTAATCATTGGAACAAGTAAACGATCATTAACTCAATTTTTGACGGTATCATTTCGTTTGTTCAGGTACTGGCCGTGTATTTACAGCATTTACTGATCGTTCTTTTGAAACGAAAATCTTCGAGGAATTGATATCGTCTGTGGACATGCAACATTCGATTAAATCGATTACTCACAAAAATATGTATGTAACTCAAGCGAGAAAAACTGTCGTGTTGATTTTTAATTTAGTGAGAAGAATTCTTATGTAATATTTCTGACAAATCATCTGGGATATTCAATCGTGAAATTGATTACATGTCAAGTGAATGATACGAGACTTTGTTTTCAATGTTTTCTTCGAGATTGTTCGATACGGCGAGTTGTTTCGACTGAGTAAAGAATTTGTTTATCTTATAATGAGATAATTCAATTGTATTGTTCTAGTAAACAACGATGTGCTTCTGGAATCGATGGTCAGCCATCTCCAGACAACGACACACAAGGAACTTCCTTCTCGACAGATCAATCTTTGTTATACAATCGATCCGTAATCATCAATCGTAGTTCAGGTAGTGTTTTCTTCTTCTCTTCAAAGAATCGATCATTCTTTCGTCATCATAATACAGATAAACAAACGACCAAAGGTCTTTTATTCTACATTGTTATACCACTGTCAATGATTGTCTTTATGCTCTTCGTACTTATTATTCTTCTTCTGACGAAATCGAATGGAAAAATCAAACGTGGACGATTTTATCCTAGTCACTGTCGTAAAACTCAGGATTCTTCAGCAAAAAATATCTTTTCTCATACATATACCAATAACATCATGTATAAAACAAATCCTAAATTGGACGTCGATAGAAAGAAACAACAGCACGTATTTCCTATCAAATCCGAATTTTGTGTGCGTCAAATCCCAATAAATCCTGTTTATTCAACAGCATCATCACAAAGTTTACCGTCCTTAGTATTGCCGACATCAACCATTCTCGCGCCAAACACGCCACAACCACTTTCGGTTCGCCGTCTCTACAAAGATTACATGTGAAAGCATTCGATGAAATTTCTATTCTTGTATTTTTCTATTCAAATATATCTATATTCGTACGCGTTACCAAACAAATAAGTCGAACTGAAAGTGTCTGGATACGCCTAGACTTCACATCTGTTTACGTAATTCATCTTTTAGTCTATCGAATGATCCTTTCCTCCTTTGTTTTGTCTATGTATATGTCAGCGTATGATACGATGTTTTCAGTGCGATCCACTGGTTGTATAGACGTTACTGAATCTGGTGCGCATGGAGAGAGGTGAAAGGTCAGCAGAAAAGTGTGAAATACATTTTAAAGTTATCTTTCATTTATTTCATAGAGATAAATGTCTAAATAGTTGATAAAAACCTATAAAAGTCCTGAAAGTCTAGAGAACAAAAAGAAAAATAGAAGCAAAAAAAAGAAGGAAGAAAATGTTTTAAGAACATCAATCACTATAACAGTAAACACAAACACAAAGAAACGAAAAGAATAAACTTGTCTCTTTCTCGAAATCTCAAAAAGAAAACAAACAAACATACACATATACGAAGCAGAAAAGAAACTGAAATCCTAACAATTTAGGAATCAAAAAAGAAAAGAAAATAACCAATCAGCAAGATCAGGAAGGACTAGGAAACTGAACATCAGTTTCTATTCCTATTAAACAAACAAACAGCAATGTCACATGCATCATTTGGCCTGTACATTAGTTATACAAACGAATGCGCAAATGAGTGAGAAAACCACACACACACATACTGATATTTTAACGCAAGCAACAAACAAATACACACGTACATACGGTTGAACGGTAGTCGTCTTTCGTATCTACATACAGTTTCAGTCTAAAAATTGTTGTTGTTATTCAAACGATAAGAATTTGGTCGCGGATGAATGCCATAGACTGGACTAAATTCATTATCATTGGAGTTGTAACGCACATTGTTATCGTCATCGGAATCGTCATCATGTCTTGCCGTCGAATTGATCACGCGAATGCAATTGGCGCAGTGACATTTCTTCAATACTGGACAAAAGATTTCGCCGCTCTCGTCGTACATTGAATGAGCTGAAAAAGAAATATCGATGTTCATCAATAAATGTGTGTGAGAAAGAAGGGACATACAGGTGTAGAGGCATTCGGGCATATTGTGGCTTTTACAGTGTCGGCAAATTGTTTTTGGATATTGATATTGTGGTTGGTGTTGATGTTTCGAATGTAATACATTGTTGAACTGATGGTAGTAGCCTTGAGGATTTTCTTCTGATGGTGAGATGCTACTTGCGGGCGACCAAGAATAATTGGATGAGGACGAAGATGAGATCGATGAGAAGACGAGTGGTTTTCGGCGCGATTCCGCTGGCCCATCACTAGAAAGTCAACATGGTTTTGATCCATCTCAACTCGATATTATTAACTTACTGAAAGTAAGTAAACGGTTCGATCATTGTTTCCGCATCGAAGGCATAATTTAATGGGTCAAAGGCGGTCTCTCGAGAGAAAATATTCGCATGTTCCATCAGCAAAGGTGAAGCTGGTTTTAAAAGAGTTTTATGATTCGTGCTCGAATAATGATACATCGTGTGAGAATTAGATAGATGTAGATGGTGTCTGACGAATAAAAGCGTTAAAAATTCGAAATGAATGGAAGTACTAAACAAAAAAACGCTGCTATGAATCTCTATTTCTCTCTCTCCCCTCTCCTCTCTTTCAGTCGTACTTTTCTTGATACATGTGTGTCGGACAGGAACGAGAAGAATGAATGGGAGATTGCCTGGATGGAATAGAAAATTCTAGTAAAGTTTGCGCGGTAAGGCGAAAGAAACACGTGTACAATCAATCTATATAGACGAAAATGAGAAAAAGAATAATTCTCGTCGACAAGATTCAATTCGTATATTATATTTCGAGAAAATCTTCATTGCTTATTGATTCTTCCACAATAAATTAAATGAATATCTTCGATCTATAGCAATGGATTACTGATAGAAGTTTCTCTGCGATCACATTGATTGTGAATAGCTTTGAATAGTCAGCAAAATCATCGAGTACATGTCCTTCTAGACGGTTTGAATCTTAAAAAAATATTCATCGAGGTAAAAAAGCCATTCAAACCAGACGGTCAATGGTCGGGCCTTCGTAACCAATAACCACCCGGAATTCTTTAAGGGCATATTTCTATCGAAAAGTCATGTATGAGTGATTTTTTTCTATTCTGTCTCTGAATAAACTTTCGAATCGTTTAACATTTTCCTAACGTTGATTCTGTGGTATCGAATCCTTTTCATAATGTACAGAGGACGTTTATTTTGAAGGAGAGGATAACAATTACACATAATTCAAACTATCAGTTTCACCTGCGGATAGTTCAGATGAAAGATATTGCATATTTGTTTGTTCGTGATCCTTCGGATCGGATGATGTTTTGGAATTACTCATTGATTATTTCTTTGATTTTCGTTGATTTCGTCTCGATTACTCGTGACTTTGAATGGATCGGGTGGTTTCGTCGGTAGTGCAATAGGTTCGCAAGGTCCTTCAATATTTTCTATCCATGTATCGATTCGATTGATCTTTTTACTTGAAAAATCCTGATGTGTTTTCATCGGTGATTGTACTTTTGGTCGACAAAGACCACATCCACCCATAACAATGAATGCATAGCATTAATTACAGACGAGATTCGTTTTTTTTGCGCCAAATGAAGTTACACGAAGGATTCATTGAGATGTTTTTGATCGATTCCACGTTTATGTTATGCTTATTCGAACGAATTAATCTCATTATCTAATAGATACCATTGTTTCGAAGAGAATATTCGATGATTTTCTTTTCCTCTTCCTTTAGCAAACGTTGAAAAGATATTTTCTCAAAAACAAAGAAAGCGTGCATTCTTTTCTCTTTTGTACATTCTGTTTACATAAATATATACAAGACATATGAATAGTAAATTCTGTCATTGTCACTTTACTGTTATTTTGTATCTATAACGTATCTATATAAATCTTGTCTGTGTGTCGATGTCTCAAGCAGCTCGCGATTCGTGTGTAAGTTTGAATGGCGATAAAAATGTTTGTGATTTGAGACCCTCTGTTTAGAAAGATGATGGACGATTGGATTATTATTCTCAGATTTCACCGGAATATCAGTTCGGTGCGTTGTGGAACTTGTTTTGAAGTCAACGAATGTCTGCCTATTTGTGTTATTGTAGAAAGGCCAGCAATTGATTGTTTATTAGACCATATATGGAGTCAAGAAGCTCGAAAACCGGCGATCGATAAACTAATTGAAGAATATTTAGAAAGAATCGGTAGTCCACTAATATACTACCCTTCTGCGAACATCGCACCACTGATAAGTATGCGTATTCCTATCGTTTCCATTTTCCATTCATTCTGTTTAGCTATGGAAAGAGAAAACGAAACAAAAAAGCATTCACGTTCATCTACTCAACAGACGCAAACTCCGAGTCGAGCAATTCAACATTATCAATCAGCTCCATCGTTCTATCATACACCGGTCACATCCGGCAACGATGCAACTCATTGTTGTCAGAAGAATTATGAATTTCAACAGACAGCTTCAACACCTTTACTTCGGTGCGGAAACTAAATCAATTTGAATTGATCATTCCTTTCTCTTTTCTATTTGTCATCAGTACACCATTTTCTACCCGATCGCATCGTTCCTCATCGATGGCGATTGATGGGTTTGCAAATACACCTTGTAGTCGACTATCGATTTCATCCAATCAAGACACACCTATTACGGATCGTTGTGTTGTAAGTGATTGAATTTAATCAATAGATTTCAATTATCTTTTGTCAGGCTAATGGAAACAGTAGTAAAGATAATCGACTGAAACGAGCTGCTGTTCACGAACGTCGGCAAGCCACTCGTATGTAACATTGTTGTGTTGAATTGATTGATGGTGATGATTTCAATTTAGGACATTTCGGAAAAGTTCAACCTGGTTTAATATGGACATCACCTTTACCTATTCGAGCACGAACATTCTCCATGCGGCCGCCATCCTTATCATGCAAGATTTTTCTTGGTGGTATTCCGCACGATTTGAACCTGCGTGAGTAGCGTGTATTCGCATCTAAAAAGTTTTCTAAAACGAAATACCTTCCAGGAGATTTGCAAGAACGCTTAGAGAGTTTTGGCTCCGTTCGGTTAGAATGGCCGAATATGGACAATATACCAATACATAGACATTCACCGAATAGTAAGAAAAGTGTTTGAAGACGTTCTGTATTGTATTTTGCCTTGGAAAAAGCCATGGCTGGTTTTGTGTATGCGGTTTACGAAAATGAAGAATCAGTTCATCGGATTTTGCATGCTTGTTCAACGAAAACAGATCGAACGTTGGATGATGGTCGATGCGAATATTACCTCGATGTGATCAGTCAAAGAACAGGCTTTCGTCGAAAGAACGTGAGATATACTTTACCCTGAGATATTGGAGATGTTTTCTATTTCTCTTTTAGATCCAAATCATTCCTTGGTTTGTGGTCTGTATCTTAGATAGAGTCACCACTAATTTCAAAATTGATTGCCTGTTCTAGGAAGATTCTCAATGGTTAACAGAAGAAGATACTACATCAAACGCTTGTTACGGAACTTGGGAACAACGACTGGGTTCCACAGAATGTATCAATCGAACTGTTTTTGTCGGTGCTCTACATGGTATGATGACTGCATACGCTTTAGCTCGAATTTGTCAGGAGCTATTCGGAGATGTGGAATATGCTGCCATAGACACTGATAGAAACAAATATCCAATAGGTAATCTCAAGTTTACAGCGAAGTTCTTGACACTCATCGTTGAATAATTCGAATTTAGGCTCTGGTCGTGTTGTATTTGTAAACAATCATAGTTATTATGCTGCGGTCACTGCGAATTATTTAATGATTGAATGCGATAAATTTTGTAAAGTGGTATGTTCGACGTTCAGATTTAGTTGTATTATTCTTTCGTGGATAACCTCATTAGATACAAATTGATCCTTATCTCTCGGACAGTGTTTCATGCGCTGGCGTGGATGGCGAGTGGTGCCCAAACGTGGGACAGTTCTTTTGTCGTTCATTGAAATGCATGAAATATTACTGTGCAACATGCTGGGATTCAAATCCTAACCATCAAGTAACATCAGCGATGACTAATAATACCGAATGTGAACCTCCGGCTATGATTCATAAACCATTGATGCGCAACGCTAGAAATTCCTAAGACCGATGAACATTTTCTGCATATCAATGGTATACACTAGTCAAAAGATTTTATAGTTATTTTTACAGATATTTTCTCGATGTTTTGCGTCAGATTACTCACGAGTAAAAGAAGTGACTATGTACAGATATATTAGCAAAATGATTTGTCTTTTGTTGTTATTGTTGTGTGTTAGAGTTTTTCTGTTTGTTCTTGTTTGTTTTCAAAGTGTTACTGTTACGAGTACTACGACCATTGGATAGTATATTTTGTGATTCTTTTCCGTTCATTTAGTTTTCTATGTAGACTGTCTGTTTGTTCAGATTTTCGCTTATGAGATAGGAAAAATAAACAGACAAGCTGTACACTTCAGTTGTATTGAAGTATTTCGAACATGTACTGTATCTAGCGACATCTTTTTTGAAGTTGTTTCATATTTGGTCATGAAAACCAATGTGAAAGTATTCTCAGAGAGTTGTTTAACATGGATTTTGTTAGCAGAAATTTTGTAATTCACCACAACTAGAACCAAATCATTTGGATCTAGCCAGTGATTTGATTTTGTTTTTCTTTTTTTTGTTAAACTGGCGTATTATGACTGAGTCCGAAAATGATAATGATATGATAGCGACTTATCAAGCACAAGTAAGACCAATTGATCAAATTATGTTCTTTCACCGATTTTTGAAACTTAATTTTTAGTTGGAACAAGTTGAAAGTACTATCCTGCGACAAGAAGAGGAGCAAGGTGTTGCGAGTGCCGAGTTAAGACAGTTACGTTCAGATCTGCGTGAAGCGCTTGCTCTTTTCAAAGTGACTAATGGTAAGGAAAACATATGTAATTAATACACGAGATATCTTCTGTTTTCTAGACGACTCAGTCATTGTACTTGATGATTCTGATCCGGCACCTTGTGTAACGCTGTCATCTGAATCTGATACCAGCGATGATAATGAGGGGGAGGAAGAAGAAAAGGACGATGATGATGGTGATGATCAAAACTCGATTATCAAACAAATCGTTGGTGCGTATTTATGTTCATGTTAAAAAATTGCATACTAATTTGACGTGTTTGATTGCTTAGGTACAAATTGTAGTGTAAAAATGAACTGTCCTATCAGTGGTTTACAACGACATAATGCCATTGTACTTGGTATTGAATCTCTGGCAGAGAATACCGTATGTGCAATTTCTCTTGTCATCGTATCTATCATGATTTCCATCAGGTCCGTGTTTTATTTTGTCAACCGACTCGCCTTGATTTTAAACCGTGCTCTTACTTTCTGAATGACAATTGTCGTTTCAATGATAATTGCAAGTATAAGTTACACTAACCATATTTTTCTCAGTAGTACATTTTACATGACCTTATTTAGATACTGCCATGGTTTTGTTATCTCTGCAGATGAACTACTAGAATACGTTGAACCAAAATATGAGTAAGCATGGTCACTTGCGTACACTCTCTCATTGACTAAATTTCTCTCCTCGAAGTACACTGGCCGCTGGACAAAGCGTCATCTGCAAACAAGGCACTGATGGTATATGGAAAGGGGGTGTTATCGAAAGTGTTGAACATGATAATAACCAATGCGTTGTGCGTTTCATACATTTTAATGCGTTAGAAGCCGTACCATTCGAATCATTGATGACTATTGGTAAAATGTCACAGTTGACTATTCCAAAGGGACCTTATTCCTCTTATCTTTAGATACTACGAAGCAAACGCCAGGAGGAAATGAAGATAACGAAGATGTTACTGATGATATTTCCAGTCCAATCGAAGATATGCCCAGCACATCGACCGATCAACCCAGATTAGGTGACTTGGGCGGCTGGGAGAAACATACTAAAGTAGTTATATATTTATGTGATATTCTCTCAAGTAAAATATCATTTGTTGTCTTTCAGGGTATCGGTTCAAAATTACTCGCGAAAATGGGCTACAAACCAGGACAAGGTCTTGGTCGAACGAATCAAGGTCTAGTCAATCCAGTTGAAGCACATGTTTTACCGAAAGGCAAATCACTGGATGCTGTACTCGAATTGAAAAAGAAGAAGAAACTAGTTAAAGCATTTAAAGTATCAAAAGAACGCAAACAACCGATGGCTGTTGCCAAGCAAAAAGATCTCTTTACATTTCTCGACAAAGTCTTTACTTCAGAAATGAATTCAAGTTAGTCTTTTTTGTGCTGATTTTTTTGGTAATGTACCCCTGCATTGATTATTTTCTAGATAATCAAGAACCGACACCGTCGCCTTTAGATCGATTTAAGGACAACAACACAACAGTCAACGAAACTTCACTATTCTTTCATTCGGAGGTGAGAATTCTTTCCTCATCATGATATATACGTATTGAAATGATTTAGATCGGTCGACGAAATGATGAAATGCGTGTCCTCGAACGAGATATTCGAAAGCTCGAAGAACGATTGAAGTACAACGAACTTCAGTACGTTATTTTCTCCTTAACTTTCATTCAAAGTCCATTTATCGTCTCTTTTCCTAGTGGCGCATCAACCGTAGCTTCGAGTATCAAACAACGTATTTTAGCAAAAAAAGCACGATTCAATAAATTGAAACATATTGAGAGCGATCTTCAATCTAAACGAGAACAGACTCGAACAAAAAAGCTCGATCTTTTTTAACAATAAAACAATATTCTCTCTTGTACAAAGGTTAATATATCATTGACATGCGTTTTTGAATTTCAGATTTTATTAAAAACTAAAGAAACACGAGCATGCCACCTGTGAATCAACCTCGTACGAATACACGTGCTGAAGAAGTAGCACGAAAGCTCAAAGGAATCGAACGGTTTGTATTGTTTCCCGAACAAACGACTTTACATGAGAAATTCAATGTTCATTTGATTAGGTACAATCCAAACTGTCGACCAATGCTCGAAGATTATGTTCAATATCAAATTGACAATAATTTTTATGATTTCGATGCCAACATGGCTCTCTTGAAAATGTATCAATTTGATCCCGTTAATTTTCAAGGTGACAAAGTTGCAGATATTCTCCTTTTGGCATTGACCAACTTACCAAAATCGGACTTCTTACTTTGCAAATACTTACTGGATTCGCAAAAAGTAATCGTGTACATTGAAGCACTATTCTCTTCATGCATTCGTTCTGTTTCAGTGTCAAGAAAATCCACGTATTGTGGAAGCACTGCAATTCTCGGAATTACTCGAATCATGTCGATTTCAAGAATTTTGGGTAGGTTTGTCAACAGTCGTCGAAGGTTCATTGTTGAACCGATTGATATTTGTAGGAGCAACTGGATCGTGCATCGGTTAAGATTTCAGGCTTTGAAAATCGTATTCGAGAGTGTATGTATCGATGTTTAGTTCCAAGCTGTTCATTTTTTTTTCTTTCATTTGAAGTCATCTGCCAAACAATCAACCGAACCTATCAAACGATTAGCCGTCAGGAATTGCAATTAGCCTTAGGTCGTCTTTCAGGTACGAATTTGTCAGGCGTTTTACACAACTAACTCGTTTTTCTTTTGCCGTAGCTAATGAATTCGAAGGATTAATCAAAGCTCGTGGTTGGAAAGTACTCGCAGATGATGCCAACTACATCTGGATTGCTAACCACGAAGAGAACATCAAATCTCGAAACATAGTGGAAAAGATTAAATTTGAACGTAAGTTTTGAAAACGGTCCTCGACATTTTCAGACGTTACTTCTGCTTTTTAGATGTTGCACCGGTGATGCATACAGCCTAGATATGCTCATGAAAGAAGATATGTCTTTTCTTTTTCTCTCTTGCTCTTTTTATTGAAATAAACAGAAGAAGACAACGAGAATCGATGTTATTTGATCATTCGTAAACGAAAACACTGAATGAAATAACGTAAATGATTCGACAAACGAGCCCGAATAAAGAGATTTTGTTGATGGTGAAGGAAGTTCGGTATAGCTATGGAATAGGAATGCAAACACATAGGCACAGTACGAACTTTCGCTTGACGAACACCGAGCTTTTTCAATGTGGCAAATTGTAGTTTCTAAACGATGAGAATGACTAATGTCAAAGACGAATAGAACGATCGTACTTGAGGTGCTAATTTAGCATAATGAGAGTACTTGTGATCACCTAATATAGGTGTACCCAATGCATGTGCTAAATGCGTACGAATCTGATGTTTAACACCTAAAATTCATATTTTCTATGAAACTGATGCATGTATCTCGTATTTCGGATACCTGTTACTGGTTGACATTCAACTAATGAGACACCGTAGTTCGAATCGATAACACGATATTTTGTTATCGCCTTCGAACTGTCAACATGATCTCGTTTACCTTTCGGCATGACTAACTTCGTTAGATCATTGTACGCCGGTGACAGCATCATTTTGTATGTACCACGAACATTTCTCTCCACAATGGGTATGTTGATTTCACCTGAAACATCGAAACGAAGTCATTCAACTTAATCCACACTGATACTTACCTTCGGTTGGCTGTGGACTTCCACGAACGATCGTCATGTATTGTTTTATAATCTTATGCTCTTGCATGAGTTCACGTAAGCGTTTTTCAGCTTCAGGTGTACTTAAAACAAGCATTGTACCATAATCATGTTTCCTGAATAAGAATGTTGCCCTACTAAGCCATTAACAAAACACCAGTCGATTGTTTATCCAATCGATGTAATAAATGAAGTTGTTTCACGTCAGGTCGATTCAACCGTTCGATTATCTGGGGTATAAAGTGTGCTAAAAGAATCCATGCTGTCGAAATTTCCATTTATTCAAAAATGAATGACCTACCTATAGAAAGTCGAACGCCTGGTCCACCTAAAAATAGAGAACGAAAATTAGAACGAATTGTCAATGGTTTTTACTTATCTATTGTCGGTAATCCATACGGTTTATCAAGTGCAAGAATACCATCTATAAGAAAACGGTTGAAAGAGTGCAATTTTACTACACTTGGAGTTCTCACGTCGGATAAAGCAGATTTGTTTGACTAGAACATCAACGATTTCAGCTTTCGTCATTTTCCACCATGTTGGCACAAGGTTTTCGAATGTTCGATAACCTAAACTGTCTCGATCACTTTGTTTTTTTGTTATTTGCTCACGAATGTGTGCAGCAGGTTCATTGGCAGCTTTTGCCGTATCAATGTCAACATCCTTTTGTATATCAAGTTCGGATTGACGTGGCGGGTCGAAATAATCTTTTGACTTTATACTCCGCATCGTTTCCAGCTTTGGATTATAAGTATCCATTGGTGATTCATTCAGATTAGGAACTGATTTTGTCGACGATTTCGGCGTAGACGTCGTCACACGATATTGGAAGTTGATGTCAAGTAGTTTCTCCGGTGATGATTTTGTTGGTGACGGTTGCACTGATTTGGTTTCTTTCGGAGGACTAAGTTTTGGTTTTGCTGTTGGACTTTCAGGTGTACTGAAAACTAATTGATCGATATAGTTAAGTTCGTCTTTGGGTGGCATTTCGATTCGTGTTATCGGCAAAGACTTTGTATTCTGTTCGTTTTGATATTCGATTTGCTTTAATGTGCCAAAATACTGTTCATCGATGGGATTCAGTTGTTCCGTTTTCAATTCGTCTATGGTTTCTTTTTGTACAGATTCGTGTTTCACTTTTGATTGTTGTTTGTTTGTAGTTAACTCGGGAAAAGCTAATTCGTCGATGTAATTGTCTGTTGGCTGTTGTTTCGGAGCGGAAAGTATTTCCTCAAAATGGAAATTTCGATAATGTGCATTGATTAAACCATAGAAATCGATATCGTGCTCGTGAACATCGATATCATTGTCAACGGATGACCAGATTTGCGCGTCGAATTTCTGATTTTCCTCACTCGATGGATTGTAATTTCTGTACAACGATTCGATCAATTGACGCTGTTCAGATTTCGATGGAAGATCAACACGCACTCGGCCGAATGTTGTTCGTTGAGTCAGATATTTCGAATGAGAGGATGGCAAACGGTTAGGGAATTCTTCTTTTTCCTTATCATTCTTATCCGTTGTTGATGCGGCTTTCTCGATAATTTCATTGAGCATTCTTCTTCAAATAATCTAAAACACATCGAGTAAAATACATTCGAACGTATCATTCTCGAAATTTCTCATTCGCGTTTTCGTTGATCAGCGGGTATATGTACTTCTTCAGATTGACGACACCCTCACCCTGATTGGTGAACTTTATGAGAGGAAAGAAAAGAAAAATTATTGGCTTATCCATTTAATAGATAGAATGATCGATAGAAAGAGGGCGTCTGTTTATGGCAAACACACTTCTAATAAATTTATGTGAGTCTAAACCCTGACACCGATACAACTTGAGATCTAGTATTTGTTGTATTGTAAGCTTACTATGCTCAAAAAAAGTATCTTTACGTAGAGAACGAGACGACTTACATACTCGACAGCGCCATTTGCATTTATCAATCGACTTTGAACATGATCCTAAATACCAATTACTGTGTTTTTTTNGGAATGAATAGATTCAAGAATATACGGCTGCCATAGGCTTTGTACAAAGTAGAATCGATATAATTATCAAGCTTGATTCTCTGATTCGCTTTCACTTCATGCATGCCGTGATCAGCGGTGACGATTACATTCAAATTTGTTTTTAAGTATGGGTCCGCATCGATCAGATGCAGAAGTTCACTGAGATCTTTATCCAATTGATGTAGTGTCTGATTCATTTCACTGGACAACGGGCCATGAGCATGACCTAGAAGATATCACGGTGAATTCGCCAATACATCAATTCTTATATTACCGGTTCGATCAGGTTCGAAACAATAGATAGCACCAAAATTAATACGCGTTTCCGGAGGTTCGCGAAACCATTCAAATGCTTGCTGCATCACTGTACGGCAAGTTCGATTAAAATCGAAGGGAAGCCGTCGAGATGGCAAATGGCCATTGATAGGTACATTAGAACCCGGCCATGCTATTACACCCGATCGACGGTGAAGAGAATCGTTGGCTAATTGATTCCCAATCCATATCGGTTCAATATGCGGATTTTGTGCCCTAAACGATGAGAGATATGCCAAGTGACTAGGTAAACTTGACACATTTGTATCTTATGACATACCACCATTTCGTATCGTTCAAAGCTCCGTATCCAGCTGTTGCATGTGATTCAGGATCGTACATAACGTTTCCAACAACGCCGTGGCTTTCTTCATGAAAGCCAGTAATCATTGTCCAATGTAAAGGAAATGTTGCAGTGACAAAACTAGGTTCGATATGCTTCACACGCACACCACGTTGAACCAAGGAGTTAAACGTTGGCAGTTGATAAATATCCGGATAATCCCAACGAAAGCCGTCAAGAGAGATTAATAATAATAGTGGCGGTGTAAGAGAAGTTTGATTTGGTATGATTGCACAGGAAATAAACGAGTTTAGATTGATGACGATTATTAAAAAGAATATTTTGCCCATTTTTTGCGATTCTCTTGGATTTAAATTGCAATTTATCGATGAAATCCGATGGTACCAGTGTACTCCTTACCATTTACATACGAAACATTTTCATTGCAGTTATTCTAGTTGATATTCACACATATTGCTCGCTTAAATTTCGATTGATTTGATTTTAGATGAATCATCCTATGGCTAGTCATACCGAACAACAGATGTCAGCAGCAATCTGTTGAATATAAATTAATTTTTTTTTAAATACTTTTCGCTCAAGTTAATGAAATATATCAAATAAAAAATCATTTGATACATACTAACGGATTTTTTCTCCAATTTTGATTGGTTGACGGCATGCTCTTTGTTTATTTGTTGATTTTTTTCTCTACTAACTCTACAATCCGCATTTCAACATAATAATTCATTCTTTTAATAGCGATTCATTCTCAAAAGGAAATTCACAATGAGTAATGCTGTTGAAGTCGAAGTACAAGATGAAGATGAAAACATGGACAATGCCAATGATATTATAGTTGGTGATCAAGACGATGATGATGCTGTTAATCAAATTAAATCCAACGTACGTCATCGAAAAGGCCGTGGTTTCAATGAGCACAGCGATCGTTTAGCCATGCAAACGGGTGAATACGAAACTGTAGCCAATGATAACGATAGCGGAAATCCAGGTCCAGCAAGATCTGTCGAAGGATGGATTTTATTCGTCACCAATGTACATGAAGAAGCTCAAGAAGATAACATGTACGATCTTTTTCGTGAATATGGAAATATTAAAAACATGCACTTGAATTTGGATCGTCGTACTGGTTATGCGAAAGGATACGCACTTGTAGAATACGAAACATTCAAAGAAGCCAAAGAAGCTTTGGAAGGAATCAATGGGCAAGATTTACTCGGTCATACGCTCCTAGTCGATTGGGCATTTGTCAAAGGACCATTGAAAAAACGTGGCACAGCTACCGGTAGTTCACGCAAAGTAACAGCTGGAACTGGCCGTACGACCCAACGGCGTTAAATCGAATGAAGAAAAGAACAAAACAATTGTCTTAGAAAATGTTGTTTACTGTTGCTTGTCATTCTTTGTTTTCTGTGTGTTCTTCTTGCAAAATTTGAACTGAACAAATAAGAAGATGTCTCGTTGTCTCTTGTGTTTTTACTCTTTTCAATAACTGGTGACTGACATCAATCAATCATTTCCATACACATAGAAAGAACAACTCCTCGTACTTGTTCATTTTCTACTTTCTACTGACAACAGAGTCACAAGAAAAACCAACATTCAAATGTTTGTTTATTCATTCTAGATTTACGGGTCTATTGTTAGTTATCAAACCAATTCATCATGGCTGTTCGTACACAATTTGAAAGTAGTAATGATATTGGTGTATTCGCACGTTTAACTAATGCTTACTGTCTCGTGGGTATTGGTGGATCCGAAAACTTCTATTCAACCTTCGAAAGCGAACTTAGTGATCATATTCCAGTTATTCATTCATCGATCGGTAGGATTTTTTCTCCGGAATGTGAAGATCAATTTGAATCTGTTTTACAACAGGGGATTGTCGTATTGTTGGTCGATTAACTGTTGGTAATCGACATGGCCTACTCGTTCCATCATCGACAACTGATCAAGAATTACAACACATTCGTAATTCATTACCTGATAATGTTCGTCTACGCCGTTGCGAGGAACGTTTATCTGCTCTCGGAAATGTCATTGCTTGCAATGATTACGTTGCATTGATTCATCCCGATTTAGATAAAGAAACCGAACAGATTTTAACTGATACATTGAACGTTGAGTGTTTTCGACAGACCATTGCAGACCGTGTTCTTGTTGGTAGTTACTCAGTGTTTTCCAATCAAGGTGGACTTGTACATCCCAAAACGACGGTTCAAGAACAAGAAGAACTATCGTCATTGTTACAAGTTCCGCTCGTTGCCGGAACAGTTAATCGTGGTAGTGATGTGATTGGTGCTGGACTTTTAGTTAACGATTGGATGGGCTTCTGCGGCTTGGATACAACTGCTCACGAGATCAGTGTCATCGAGAGTGTATTCAAACTCGGACAACAGAGTGCGGCCGGTGGCGCAACAACAACAGGAAATACGAAAACAATCAAAGATGCGCTTGTTGACGCACTTACTTAAAATAAAAGAAATCAATTGTCGTTTCTTTTCTGTGTGTTTCTGTTATGTCATGAAAAGATATCAATGAAGTTCAGTGAAATATCTACCTGCTTTTCAGATAAACACCGCAAAACATCAGCAACGTGGCGAAAACCCCACAAATTCTTCTTCAATGTAGTCGATCCGGTCGATGGATACTTCTTTTCTATAGTCACGTTCTTTTCTACGTTCTTGTTTCGATCAAATCCATCAATCCATGGATTTATCTGCTATTCATTTGGTTTTTCCTTCAATACCAACTAGCGATCTATCTCGTTGCAGCTGTTCGTCCAATGTCAGACAATTCGACTAGTAAATGTCCAATATGTTTACTACACTTTTCCGATCGATTTCATCATTGCTTTCTTGTCAATCGTTGTATAGCAACATGTAATGTTCATTGTTTTCTTTCGTTTACGTTCTATGCAACAATTGCAACGTTCATTTGTTTTTTTGTATTCTTTCGTCACTTTTTCTACCTCACACCGATTAGTTCATATTGCCTTTTACCGATGGGCGAATTTTTCTGTTCGAGTCTAAGTTGGAAGCAGACTGGTATAGTCATGTTAACACGATCAGCATTAATCGGAACTGGATGTGCTGCGGCCATGGGTCTTTATGTAGCAAAAGAATTCTACTATGATAAAACAGATAGGTCACGAACGATTGGATGGGAAATCATGAAGATTCTATTACCCGTGCTAAGTGTCATTCGATTTTATTAGAGAAAAAGACGTAGTTTGTGATAAAATATAAATATTTTTATACAAGCTTTACTAGAAAAATATAGAATGATTGTAAATTTTCGTTTTTCTTTTTTTTGAATGCTTACTACACCTATAATTCACATCGTCCTTGACTGATTGTTTATCGAACTATTATTCTATTCTCGATTCTTCTTTCCCGACTCATAGACAGTTGCAAAGGTAACGATTATTGTCCGTAAAAGTAATTTGTTTATTCATGTCTATTTTGAGACTATATGAATATACAATAAAGATGCGCGTGACAAAGTCAACTTTGTTTGTACGAATATTGATCATATTTTCTTCTATTTATTCTCTTTTCGTTTATTTCTTCCTCCATGCTGTGATGATGATGAGTAGGTGTTATTCAAAAAGAAAAGGCGAGAAATGCATATTAGCTCGTTTATGTAAATATATAATCGCATGAAATCAACAGTTATTGTTCTGCTTACACAATAGATTGTGTCTAGGCGCGTTAAAACGACTACTAGCCACGGAATTTCTCACTTTTAGTTACGTATGTCCGCTGTAATAAGAAGAAATGCTTCTAGACGACGACACAGTCGTGAACTTTTACAGCATGTTAAATCTTTTCAAGAANGGCGAGAAATGCATATTAGCTCGTTTATGTAAATATATAATCGCATGAAATCAACAGTTATTGTTCTGCTTACACAATAGATTGTGTCTAGGCGCGTTAAAACGACTACTAGCCACGGAATTTCTCACTTTTAGTTACGTATGTCCGCTGTAATAAGAAGAAATGCTTCTAGACGACGACACAGTCGTGAACTTTTACAGCATGTTAAATCTTTTCAAGAAAAATATATTCTTCGTCAGTTTTGGATAGATATATCTATGGGTAAAAAAATCGGGGAACTTGCTGATGTGCCGGACGTTGACATTGCAGAAGCTGGATGTTTCAAATACATATTAATTGAAGTGCGAGATCTTGGTGCAACGCGTGAACAATCAAAACTTGTTGTGCGCGGTGATGCATCATGTGCTTATCACGGTAAGATATGAAAGGAAGATGAAAATGTATCTATTTGTGTCTCTTTTAGCTGACGTTCTGGACTTGTTGCAAGATAAAATCGATGATAGTAAATTGAAATTGGATTGCAAAGGTGGAGGCCGTATTCGAGTGAATCCACAAACACGAACAATATCAGTGTACGGTTATTCAATGGTAAGTTTAATGAAACAGGACAATGTTTGTAAAAGAAACTATTTCCTAGGGATTCGGTCGAGCTGATCATGAAAAAACAGTCGAAATTCTCAAAAAAAACTATCCACAATGGACGATAGAAATAACAGGTAAGAGAAGTGATTGAGTGTTTGGGAAATATATCTTCTCTCTCGTTTACTCTAGACGAAGAATATTAAAATCAAGTCACGAAACAAAACATACACATTCACGAATGATTGATCGAGCTTCAATGAATCTTTTCACCACTTCAACATGCTCACTTGTGTTTGTATATATACATATTCACAGGAAGCATTCTTTTTTTTCTGTTGCGATTCTTTAAATAAAATTCAAAGCGTACACAAAGGTAGAATCTTTACTTTCGTTTTCATTCGACTGCGTTAAATACAACAATCATTAGCAAATATATTGATGTGTATGTACACACATGGTCAAGGCTGAACAGACCGACGACATTCTTGCTGCCTTGACCTCGAATGTATATTTCTGTTAGATATGTATACATTCGTGTGCATACATATAGAGGACAAAAGATAATCATTGATGACACAAAAGAAAGAAACTGATGGTTTATAAATGAGATAAGATTTGTTAGTATATCAAATGAAACATTCGAGTAGAACTGAGAATACACAAAAGAGAAGCTCGAGAAGGTAAGTGAAGAAGACAAAGCTGCACAACTGTTGTTTTTTGTTTTGTGTATGATTGTTGGAGAGGTTTAACCTCGAGTTCATGTTACTTGCTATTTACAATAATAACAACATACTTGAAAAGAGGAGTAAAGACTATATCAAACACAGTTTCTCTCTGTCGCTTTCATTCGATTGATTGTGAAAGATACATTTTCCTAATTAATCTTCTCCTTCGGATTTTTTTCCATCTGTTGATTCCGGTTTGTCTCGCCTAATACAAGCTTCGTGAGTAGGAAGGAAAACTCTTGCGTATTTTTTTCTCTTTCTTTTCGCTATGTGTAAAGACGTGCTTTTACGACACGACCTTGTAAGTGTGGTGCCACACGGATAG